CTCCTTCCCTCTAGCCTCGGAGCGCCCGCCCCGCAGCCAATGGAAAACACGTCTCGGCGATTGGCATCCTGGCCAGCCAATAGAAACGTTCAGCGGCTTCGCAGGGGGACGGAGAGCGTCAATGGGAAAGGCCCTCCCCAAGAAGTCCCGTAGGACAAAAATTTCATTCGATGTTGTTGCCTAGAGTTTGCCCCAGCGGAGGGTTGGCTTGAGATCTGCAGACTCCAGGGACCTGCTCTCGCTGGTTGGCATACTAGCGGTCTGAGACGACTGCAGGTTGCCCAGTGCGAAGTGTTGGAAACTACATTTCCCAGCATTCCAGGGCGCGCCCGGGGACCACAGATCCCGGCGCACCGCCGAGAGGCCAGATACTACAAATCCCAGCATGCCGCGCGCCCCACTCTTCTAACTTAGACTCTGATGTGCCGCGCAGTGTGCGCAAATTCTGAATCCCGCAGGCGGTGATGGTGGGTTCTGAATCCGAGACTTAAAACTAGACGAGAAGACCCACTTCATTCTCACAAGAAGATGACAACCCACAGAGAATTAACTTCTGTTTACATGCAACTCAGAAGTCTTCTGCAAATCATGGTAAGGTTGCAAACAACAAACAAAAACTGATTAAACCATGAAAGATTGTGGAACAAAATGACTTCCTCAAATCGTCTTCGTTTGTTTGGGGCGTCTTTTGAGTGTTTCGCAGGGTTTTCTGGTTCATTCCTTCTTTGAACTGGGAAATCTACCGATTGTGTATATTTGGAATATCAGTACGGGAAGGGACACTAAAGAATGTGCTAATCCAATCCCTGTTGTTTTTACTCATGAGGAAGTTGAGGCCCAGAGAGGGGAGATGTTGGCCACAGTTCTAGCAAGTTAGGACAGAATTAGAATTCAGTTCTAGGCCTGCTGACCCCAGAGTGTGGGTTCCACTAGGAAGGTGATATTTTCAGCAGTATGACAATGTGATTGTTATTCTTGATGAACAGGAAATCAACCTTCATCCAGGATTGAAATATCCAGAAATTAGTAAGCATTTAGTGAATTTACTGCAAGTGAGGAAGTATGATATTTGTTTTTCTTGAGTCTAGGTAGGATTTCATGTTTTGACTTGTTCTTTCTCTGTCACTCAAGGAAGATGTTTAACATGATTTCAGGAAGTAGGTAGAATTGATTTAAGCCACAATTTCCTTGGAGATCTCCTCTGTCCTTTCCTAGGTTTGTCTTCCTCTTTCTTTCCCTCTTCTCACCCATCTGAGCACACACTCAATTTTTTCTTCCATATAATTCAACAAACATGTTTTCAGCTCTGTCATTTGTCAGGCACTGAGTGGGTAAAAGGTGAAAGGCATGATCACTGTCACTAGGAAGATAACCATTGATTTAGGGAAATAAGGAGACTCCATTGAGATTCAAGTTGGATTATGATGCATAAAAGAAATAACATCAGAATGCCACAGAGATCCTGCTGGAGAGATTTATAATCACTGAAAAACTTTATGGAGGAAGTGGCATTTGAACTTGAAGGATGGATTTTTTCCTACATTAAAAAATTTATCCTTAAATGCTTTTGTCAATGAGGTAAAACAGTAGAGAAAGACTTTTCACATATGTATACACCCATATTGCCATCACCCAAATCAAGATAGAGAACGTTTCCAGCATTCACTGTGCCCCTTCTCAATCTGTACTACATCCACACATCTAGAAATAACCACTCTTCTGGCTTTATTACCATAGGTAATTTTGTCTGTACTTGAATTTCACTTATACGGTGTGTACATTATATGTCTGGCTTTTCTTGTTCATTGGTGTTTTTTATGAGATTCATCCTTGGTATGTATATCTTTTTAAAATTTTTTTTTCATTTGCTTAGTAGTATGCCATATGATCACAGTTTATTTGATCTGTTGATGGTCATCTGGGTTGCTATCATTTTTTGGCTGTTATTAACAAGCTACATTCTTTTTTAAAATACTTTTTTAAAAAACATATTTATTTTATTTGTCAATGGAACTTTATTTATTTTTATGTGGTGCTGAGAATCGAACCCAGTGCCTCACACATGCCAGGCAAGCACGCTACCACTGAGCCACAACCCCAGGCCCAAAGCTACATTCTTATATGAACCTTTGTTTCTTCTTGTGGACATAAGCACACATTTCTAGGGAAGAAGTCGCTGTCTTGTAGAGTATGTATGTGATCAGCAACAGAGATATTGCCAGTTTTTCAAAGTGCCTTGTCCAGCAATATAAGAGAGTTCTAGTTGCCTCTTATCCTTGCTGACACAGGGTTTTTGTTGTCAGTCTTTATGTTAGCAATTTTGGCTAAATGTGGCATTTCATCAAAGTATTTATTTACATTTTTCTGATACTGAGCATCAGTGTCAGAATGCTTATTGCCAATTTGAATGTCCTCTTTTATGAAGTGACTGCTCAAGTATTTTGCCCCCTTTTACTTATTAATTTTTTTGGTAAGGGGGACTGAACTCAGGGGCACTTAACCACTGAGCCACATCCCCAGCCTTTTTTTGTATCTTATTTAGATACAGGGTCTTACTGAGTTGCTTCAGGCCTCTCTAAGTTGCTGAGGCATGTTTTTTCACTCTTACTGGTGTCTTTTGAAACAGAATTTCTTAATTACAATAAAGTGTAATGGTTTTGTGTTTATGTAACACTTTTTGCATTGAATTTAAGAAAGCTTTGGCTGTAGGGTTAACAGGATTTTTACAGGCAAATGTGAGAGAAGAACATGGCAAAAAAAAAAAAAAAAAAAAAGCTTTCTCTAAAGCAAGCCTGGACACAGGCCTGTTTGAATTCATGATGGGCATTGGAAGGCCTGGAGTGGAGAAGCCTGTGAAGGGAGGTGGGGTGAGGCAAAGCTGGAATATTAGAAGGAAGGCATACTGCAAAGGATTTAAATTGTAGCCCTGGAGTATGGACATTATTCTGGAAGAAGCAGAGGGATTGCCAGAATATTTATAAGCTCAAATTGAACTCAGTTGTCTTTCTCTCACTCTTAAACTTGCCCCTCATCCTTCGTTGCTGTGTTTTAACACCACTGTCAGACAGCTTTGGCTTCCTGGGCCAGAATCCTGGGTATCCTCCTTCCCTCTCCCTGCATTCAACTGGTCACCAAGCCTCATAGATATAATAGTTTAAAAGTCTCCAACAACATCTCCTTTTTCATCTCCAGCTGCTACCACCTTTGTTTAAGATCTTATAGTCTCATATCTGAAATAAGTCATCTGCTTCCAGTTCTTTTCACAGTTAGTTCCTGTTCTAACTAGTACAACCATTCTAAATTGACTGTTCTTCCTATTTTCAGCTTTAGAAACTTAAATGGTTATTCAGTGCCCTTAAGATAAACTAAAAACCCCTTGACTTGTCCTTTCTGATTTGCTTATTCATTTTTCCTGACTGAACTCAAGCCTCATCTCCTCCAGATGCCCATCCTTAATCACCCTTCCCCAGGCCACAGTGAGGTGAGTCATATTTGTTCCCCCAGGGGGCTGTAAGATCTCCAAGTGGGGACTTTGCTGTGTTTAGACTTTCACAGTGTATAGTACTGGCATGTGAATTCCAAGACCCTTGATGACTGGGCTCCAGCTTTGTGCTCCTCATTTTCCGCACCTGAAACCTGGGTTCCAGCCACTCTTGGTTCTTTTTCTGCATCAGTGTATGCTGCACAGTGCATGTCTCTGTGATTATGGTCACTACCCTCTTCTGCTTTTTTTTTTTTGGCCTGGAAAATGATTGTTTTTCCTTTCCAAATCTATTTCGTACCTCTAAAGTTATATCATATTCATCTCTTAGCACTTAATACATTGGAGCTTTTTAAGCACAAGAACCTTGTTTTAACTTAATGTAACCTTCTAGAACATAATAGGCACTAATTTTTTTGAGTAAATGAATGAATTGGTTGGGGCTAGACTCTATAGCATTGTTCTGATTTCTGCACTATAATGCACAGTAAGTAAATGGGGCTCTTTTCCTCAACTTTGAGACCTGAAGATCTATGTCATGTAATCTTAAAAAAAAAAAATCAGTTTGAGGGCTGGGGCTGGGGCTCAGCTGTAGTGCACTCGACTGGCATGTGTGAAGTACTGGGTTCGAATCTCAGCACCACATATTTATGAACAAATAAACGTCTATCAACAACTTAAAAATATTGAAATAAAATTAGTTCAAGTGTTCAGTTATGTGGCATTTCTTAGCCATCTTCCTAGGGGAGTCGGTTGACAAAAATGCAATGCCACAAATGACATTTTAGTTTTAGAACTATTGTTGTTGGCTGCAGCCATCTCCTGTTTATTTTATTCTGAATAGAGATCAAGAACATGGTCTCTGGCTCAGACAGTCCGGATTCCAAAGTAGGCTTGGCCCTTGGACTTTTAGATTTCAGCTTACCTGAAAAATGAAATGATTACAGCTCATGATGTTATGAGAATTCAACAAGATAATACATATAAAGCACCTGGGGAAAAAAGGCTCAATAAATGGAAGTTGTTTTTAGGCTTAATGTTTCACTGTTCCTAGGGGTAGCAGCAATTGCCACAGAGAGCTCCTGGTTAAAGCTCAGCCAAAGGGATGAGTTTTGGGTCCAGGATGGTGATGGCGGCTGCTATGTTTTGGGTCCCTATATCACCTAGGCCGCATTCTTCTCCTGGAGCCCCTCTCCACTCGCCTCCCCTCACGGTTCCCGGGCTGCAGCCCATCCAGGACCCTCTTCTCTCGCCGTGCCCCAACTGAAGATCAGAGGCGGTGAACTCAGCGCGGGGAACCTTGTGTGGGCGGAACTTGAGTGCAGCGGTGGGAGGCTTCCGGGGGAACCGCACGGTCGACGGGTCGGCGGAGATAGAAAAACGCCGGACGCTGGACTGATCATGGACGCTTGACAACCTGCGGTCAGGCGCCGGGAGGCCGAGCCAGCAACGAAAAGGACCCAGAGGCGGCAGGGACAGGTAGGGGCCGGTGAAAGGGCAGGCCGCGCCGGGGCCGACGCTCCAGGCTCGTCAGACCTCCGGCTTGGCGGCCTCTGCCAGAGAAACCCGCGGCCACGCCGCCCCGCCCCCGCCCCAGGAGCGCGCCCCGCGGCTCCTCACTCCACGCCAGCGGCCCTGCCTGAAGCAAGCTGCCAGCCCTGAGGACCACCCAGCTTGCGCCCTCAGCTTCCTCGTTGTGGATATCTTCGCTGCCCCATCCCCCCAAAGGCCACCCCTTTGCCCCTCTCCAGTTCATCAAAATAGCGCCCTCCGCTGTTGGGAATTCACCTCCGCTGGGTCCCTAGCCTCCTAGGGGGCCTTTGACTCCAAAAGAAAACGACTATCACTGTTTTCTTAAACTCTCCCTCACACACTGTGCGCTTCAGGCTGAGATCTTTTGCATGCACCGAAGTTTCTCCCCATTTCCCTACCTCCTTTCCACCCCAGCTGCTTCCATTTACTCTCTTTCCTTAGATACCCACCTGTCTCTTTACACGTGTCCATGTGGAAGGACAATTTTCCTCTCGTTTCCTTATTACCATCACCTACCTTCCTTTCCTTCCCCATCTCGCCCCTTCCTCCCTTTCCTCTTGTCTCCTCAGAACTCATTTCTTAACACTTTTCTTTTTCTGGCAGGACCTTTTTAGGTAATGCTAAGTGAGGCAACATAATAGTGTGAAAGGATTGTAGCTTTGTATGCCTGACTCCACAAGAAAACTTAAGTTTTTCTAGTACCAAACTATCTTTTAAATTTTTCCGTATTTTTCATTGGTACATTATAGTTGTACATAGTGGTGGGTTTAATTGTGCCCTATTTGTACATGCAAACAATATAATTTGGTCATTGTGGTTCCCCGGTATTTACCCTTTCCCTCTCCTCCTCCTTCCCCCTTGTCCCTTTTCTCATCTACCTTGGATTTTTTTGACACCCCTCCCCCCTTTATTTTTCTTTTTCCTCTCTTGCTTCCACTTAGAAAACATACAGTTTTGACTTTCTGAGTTTGGCTTTTTTCACTTACCATAAGCTCAGGTTCCATCCGTTTTCCTGTAAGTGACATAATTTCATTTTTTATGACTGAGTAAAACTCCATTGTGTGTATATACTTTTTTTTATCCGTTTATCCATTGATGGACAACTAGGCTGGTTCCATAGTTTGGAATTGTGCTGCTATAAACCGGGTTGGCATGTGTTACTGTAGTTATGCTGACTTTTAATTCTTTAGGATAAATATTGAGAAATGGTATAGCTGGGTCATATGGTGATTCCATTCCTAGTCTTTTGAGGTACCTCCATACTGATTTCTGTAGTAGTTGTACTAATTTATAATCCCACCAACATTGTAAAAGTGTTTCTTTTTTTGTTGTTGTTAACCAGACTATGCTTTTGTAAGTTGTTCTTTATTTTACTATACAAAACTCTTTTCCTTCATTTTGTCATACTCCCCGATTTGCATCATTTATGGAGGACACATCTCTGCTTATGTGGGACTCAAGTAGGTATGTTGTGTGTCCACATACACTCAACATGTAATTAGATTACAAAATTGAGGGGCCTTCCTGTACCTAATGTATTAGGGATAGCAATATAATATCTGCATTGTTTTTCCAAGTCCTGTTATTATTGAGGTTTTATACAGATATTGAGTTATGTGTAGTAAAATGTCACATATCAATAGAGGAATTTACCCTGTGGACTTACACAGTATTTTCTAAGTTTGAATATATTGTTGCTTATCTTTTACAATGCTTTTTCTCCTTTCTTAATGCTTAAATAACGTGTGTGTGTTTTGCTAGGTGTGGAACCCAGGGCCTTATGCATGTGAAGCATACACTCTACCACTGGGCTACATCCTCAAACCTTAAATTACTTTTTAAATTAAATGAAATATGGTTCTTGTCAGCTGTTTGTTTTATCTTGTTCTTTTTGTAGATGAGATTCTGATAAACAGAGGCAACTCATTTCAGCTTCCTATGTGTTATGGGCAATATCCTTTGTCTCTGAACCAGAATTTGTAAATGAGGTAGATATAAAACAAGTATGGAGAAACTCCTGTGTTTCTTTAGGCTGGTAATCTTTTTTTGGTGGGGAGTGGGTATTTAACCCAGGGCACTTGACTGCTGAGCCACATCCTCAGTTCTGTTTTGTATTTTATTTAGAGACAGGATCTCACTGAGTTGCTTAGCACCTCGCTTTGCTGAAGCTGGCTTTGACCTCCTGTCTCAGCCTCCTGAGCCTCTGGGATTATAGGAGTGCACCACCACATCCTGCTCTTTAAGAGCCTATAAGGGATGCCTCTGGGAGAGGGACAGATGGGGAAGTGATTTAGACAAAGTGTGTTTCAAACCTCAAAATTGTTAGGACAAAATCCTCTTAACTTCAGGTTGAACCCTACCCATCTCAAAAAGTGGTCATTGTATCTGGACTGAGTAGCTATTTTATCTTTATGAACACTATAACATTATTCTGGCATCTGGTCCAGCTTTAAATAAATACAGACTTTGGAAAGGAGAAGGAAGAATGACTGACATACCTTTCTTTTGGACAGATCTCAAAGTCAGAGAATGGCAGGTGAACAGAAACCCTCAAGTAACCTTCTGGAACAGTTTATTTTATTAGCCAAAGGTACCAGTGGCTCAGCCCTCACTGCTCTCATAAGCCAGGTGTTGGAAGCTCCTGGAGTATATGTCTTTGGAGAGCTGCTGGAGTTGGCCAATGTGCAGGAGGTAAGAGCAGTTTCCAAATAATTGGTCTGTTTTTTTTCTCTAAACCTTTTCTGTGACTTCTCTAGGTTTTCCAAGGAATTTCACTGCTGAAGTATTGTGTACCTCTAGGGTACTATTTAAGGAGTGATAGGAGATGGTGAGGCAGAGGAAAAGATTAAGGATGATGTCTTGGGTTTCTTTATTCAATATTAGTCCCTTGGGCAAAATTAGATTGGGTTGCTAGTTATCTGAAAGATAGCAAAAAAGTCAAAATGGTGCTATAAGTGAGGTATGATGTTTAATAGGGATAGTTTCAGGCATTCTGAGGAACAAAAATCCTCCAGCACAATATAGAAAAGGAAGATTGGTCAGGGACATAATAGAAAATTATTGCTGTGTTGAACCTGAGATGGGCACGAATAGGAAAGTGTTGTTCCTGTGGAAAAGGTCAATGTTGTGTTAAAATAGATGTGTTAAAAAGTTAAGAAAAATAAAGCAAGAAAGTATTCCATTTAGCTTTGTTGATTTGTTTGATTGTTGTATTCTTTTTGGTCAATGTGCCTTAAAAAATAAGATATTTTAAGAGTGACCAAGTGGAACAAAGAGATGGAAAGCAACTTACACTACTTTAGGCACTTGTGTTTTTATTTGGATTCAGGGGCACTTAACTACTGAGTCACATCCCCAGCCCTATTTTATATTTTATTTAGAGAAGTGCAAGCATGTTTTTGCTTTGGAAGGGAGCTCTCAGAAGCTTTGATGTGTTGGTGGCAGGTTCGCTTTCTCTTTGCCATCCTGGGTTTCTGGTGGTGCAGAATGGCGACGACTAAAGGATGGCCACTATGGGCAGATCCAGGTGCGGTACTTCTTGCAGATCATGTGCTGGATGCTTCTGAGAGTGGCCTTTGTATTCTGATGGTGGTGGTGTTCTGTATGTAGGAAAACTGTATGTTTTCCCTCTAAGTGGCTGACTTTTGCTGGATGGATCATTACCTTCATGAGCATCATGACACCTTTGCCATTAGCTGCTGGGTCTGTGTCCATAGCCAGTTGTAACCACAGCAGTGGGCCTTAAGGGTATTGGGCTTGGTGCTGTATGTCTGCTTCTAATTCTTGGTCAGGAGGTAGAGTAGTTCCTTATGACCATTCTGCATATGTCTCCCCTTCTTCTGCTGGCCAGAAATGGAACTAGAGAGCCACTGTATTTTTTATTTATTTATTTATTTATTTTTTAGTTTTAGGTAGACACAATATCTTTATTTTACATTTATGTGGTGCTGAGGATCAAATTCAGGGCCTCGTGCATGCTAGGTGAGCGCTCTACCACTGAGCCACAACCCCAGCCCTGCCATTGTACTTTTTAACTATAAATTTTTATTTAATGTTAGTCTTGTTTGCTATAAGCTCTGTGGGGATAAGAAAGACTTGTGCTCACCATAACTTTATTGGAGTGGAATACATAGACTGACACACAGTAGGCTTTCAGTGAATATTTAGTTTACCAGAGATGGAAAATTAATATTTTGGGCAGATTTGAGAGAACTGGGTTTACTTTTCAACAGAAGACATGACCTTTAGATTCATGAAAAGCCTGAATGAAAATGCCAAACAGTTGATTCTGAAACTGTGCAAGATTGGTGAAGAGGAAATACATGGAAATTAAAGCTGGCAAGACCTTATGGCCTTATCTGTTTTAGAGAAAGTAGTCTGTTCCAGCTAGTGTTTTAACTGTCTCTCTGAAAAGGGGACTAGATTTGGTGGTCTTTACAGGTCTCTTCCAACACTGATTCAGGGACCTATAGAGGTTTGTAATACCTTAGAAGGTAGGCTGAGGTAGAGAGTGGTAGAGTTCTTACTCTTATGCTTAGCAGATCACCTTTTTCTCCACAGTTTGCGTTTTTCCATTTGTGAGCTGGGAATAAGCTAGCTGCCTTTCAGTGGTCTGAAATTATGGTTCTTGGAACTTTTTTTTTTAATTTTTAGTTTTTTGGAATTTTCTTTTAAATGGCTAAAATTGAATAGTAGTAGTACTGTTGTTACCGTTTAGATATTACTGAGTTTGGTAAATTGGGGCTGTGTGTATGCACATCCATAAACAAAATTGGTGCTTGATTGTAGTAAAAGAAGCACCCAGTTAAGGTAATTGACAGCAGAGCAGTTCCAGGCAGAGTAGTAGTTCTTCTGTTTTTCTACAGTGTCTTCAGTGAAGAATAAGTAATTTTAATGAAAGTTTTTATTTGGGGAAGCCTGATATCCTGGTTTCCTGTCCTAGTCTGGCTTTTCTTTCACACTTTATGCTGTGCTACTCTTTACCAGGGTGAATAATCCATATATGGTCCTGAAAGTTGGACCCTAAGTTGTGTTCAGTTGGGTTGATAGTGATTCTCAACCTCCTGAACTGTTGTGTGAACAGGACTGTCTTTGTTTTGATACTGGAGATTGAACCTGGAGGTGCTTACCCACTGAGCTACATTCCCAGCCCTTTTTATGTTTTATTTTGAGATAGGGTCTAAGTTGCTCAGGGCCTTGCTAAGTTGCTCAGGCTGGCTTTGAACTCAAATCTTCTTACCTCAGCCTCTGAAGTTGCTGGGATTATAGGCATGCACCACC